CGCCTCCGGGCGCTCAGCCGCCTGCGCCGGGGCTGCTGCCTGCCCTTGCGGGGATGGTAAGAAAGAAGCAGAGGGTGGGAAACCGTTAAACGCTCGGGATATATCAGGGGAGCTGTTGACAAATGTCCTCAGTACTTGCTGAATCCTGGGGCTGCGTTACATACTCTTGCAATAAACATTTGTTGAATAAAACCCGGGTATTTCGATGTTGGATTGATACCGAGCGTAATATTTAAAAAGCGATATCTGATTAAGAGTTTTGAACGAGGGGGTGTCTGTACGGCTGACGTGGGATAAACATCAGAAAAAAGCACCGGGTGTTTGTGAGCACAGCGCTAGGACATTGTGTCCTAACTCTTTCGATATAGTCACTGGGGGACGTGCTGCACGAGCCTACGGAAACTGTATGTAACGCGTTGGGGTAGAGATGCTACACATTATGTGTTCAAACTTCCACACCGCCGTTTGCAATGTTACTAACGGCATGAGGCTCTAAACAGAAATCACCGCATTTCACTGTCTGGTTAATGACCCGCTGTTGGCTTTTGTTTTTTTGGTATTTTTTCCACGGCTGTTTCCAAAATAGATCGTTTAAAAACGCCATAAACGGAAAGGATAACCCAGCCCTTTATTTTAAATCAAAGCTGAAAGCGAAGGGAACCGAGGAAATCGGCGTAACCCATGTCCTGTGTTGTTGGTGATGGCAGGCTGCCTCGGGGGAGGGCGGGGGGGAAGGGGAAGGTATTTCCAGAAAAAAAACCCCGCCGCAAAACCAAACAGAACTGCCAGGAAGAAGGGAGAACATTTTCTCCATGGTAAGCCAACGTAAAGCAATACTTTAAATGCTTCGCGTTCAGTCTGATCGAGTTCTACGAATTCCCAATTAAATCAGACGATCTGATTAATTGTCCCTGGAGAGTAAAATTAGTGGTTGCGAATAAAATTAAGTCGGATATTTTGACTTTGCGGCTGTATTAAATAAAGGTGTTATAACACCCTAAATCACGAGGAGTGGGTGGCAGCTGCACGCACAGAAAGTCGGGTGGGAAAGAGTCGGGTGGGAAAGCGTTTGTTTCGTAAAAAAAAACCCAAAAAACCCAAAAAAGCGAGGAAGAAGGATGTAAGTGTAAAAAAAATATTGAAAAGCTTGAGGGCTCCGCAACTGCGCTTCTCGCAACAACAGAAGGAGCGTGACAAGGGAAGGGGGAGCGGAGCACCGGCGAGCGCTGCTTGTCCGGCGGCGGGGCTGCCCCCCGCCCTCCGCGGCACACCGCGGCCATGCGCGCCGCGCTCCCCCGGCGGCGGAGGGAGCGGCGGGCAGGTCCGGCGCGTTTAGAGCAAAGCCGGGGCTTTCTCTCCTCCCGGCTCGGGTGCCCGAGTGCCGCGGGGGCAGGCAGCTGGCCCGGGGGCAGCCCCCCGCAGCCCACCCGGGGAGGCGCCGGGGGAA